AGAGAGAGAGAGAGAGAGAGAGAGAGAGAGAATTGTAATCATAGGTCTTGAAAATGAGGGGAAACGGTATGTTTACGAGCAGAGGGTGCAAACCCTCTGTGGAAACCCTGTTTGCAAAACTGATGCCATGTGTTGAGCCAATTATACATAAGGAGCCCTAAAGCGTGATTTCATATCAAATATTCTTCTTCTTTGAGTATAATTTCGAGAAAACAATATATTTTTCTCATACATATTGTTAGCGTATATACTGTAGAGTGAAATACATTAAAATATATAGAATATAAGGTTAAAAGAGATGTAATTAATCTGTTTTCTCCGCCAAAACAAAACTTATTCCACATTTTAAGCAAAGAAAATATGTTTATGTCTTCAAAGAGACGCATAATTTGCTTATATATTAACCGCAAAAATATAATCAATTTATTAAAACGCAAATTATTTAAATTGTTATCAAATAATATTTATTTTTAAAAAGCAATCAATTATTTGAAAGAAAAACTGAATTAATTTGCAAAACAGAGTTTGTTTTGAAATTTTATTTGTTTTTCATAGGAAATGGATTTAATAAAGGATTGTTGAAAATAAATACACAGAAAATAAAATCACTTTTTAACGTTTGAAAAGTAAATTAAAAATACTGTTTAACTATAGGTTTTGCTATTATATTATTTCGTTTTCTTGTATTCTTTCGTGACTTTCGTATTGGAAAAGAAGTTGTAATTTAATTATATTTTATTTTTATGAATATTGTTAACAAACCTTTATATTTGTTATTCAATTAATATTCAAATTTCTATTTTGTCTTATAAATGAATAAATGCTTTTAAAAACAAAATGAATTTATATATTATTGCATTCAAACATTCAATATATATTAAAAAGTGAATTAAAATTACATTATATTAATGAAAATTTCCAAGAATTGTATTGAAAATGAATAGCTTTTTAAATAAATATTTTCCAGAAAAAAAACATTCATTAAAAACAAAAAATAGCAGTAAAACAGTAAAAGAAGACTAACTCTTGAGTTACAGGAGTTTTAAATGAGTTTTTCATCAAAAGATAAATGAAATGATAAGCAAAGCCCTACTTTTGGAAACACTAATAACGGATAGAAATCCATAAGAAGAAGGATTTTCTAATTTATATCAAAAATCAGATATAATTTAAAGAATTTGTTTTTTATTTTCAAAATGAAATATTTTAATTAAATAAATATTTAACTTTGTTATTCAATTTGCTTTATCAACAAGTGTTAGATCAATATTCAAACTTGTATTTGAATTAAAATAAACGTTTCACTTCAATGGTGTTTATATTATTTGGAAATATAAATAAAACACTTTACTTTTGAATGTCATTAAATGTGTTTAGAAATTCATATTTTTATGCAAATATTAAACATTAAATTATATAATTTAAATGCAAAGGTACTAAACCTCTAGTTATAGTTTCGCATATAAATCATATTTAAATTAAAATGAAACTATTTTCTTAAATATTTATACCTTCTCTGGAAACAAACACTAAAAAACTTAAGCAATAAATATGTAACAAATTATACTGTAATCAACATTATATCAAATAGTAAATTAATCCGAAAGAAATCACAATTTAAATACTAACTAAACATTAAATATTATATTTTTAAAACAAAGTTTCGGAAGCAATGGTAATGTATTGTAATATTAATATTATTGAATTATAGCAATAATTAAAAATAAAATGTCGACAATTTAATGAATGGACTAATTATAACAATACTTCATTAATACAGTCTAATAAATAATAACTTATAAGTTATGTTATAATTTATAAGTTAGTTATAAGTTATAATAGAATTTTCAAAAGAATTATTTGTATAGTTATTATTGTTTATCGAAAAACATGATTGTTTTGTATGTAAACCAATCTATTTACAAATTATTTAAGATTGTATAAGATATTACCAAAGTTGCTATCAAATAAATTAAACTAGATAAAATAAAATAAATATAATTAAACATAAAATTAGTTAATTAATATGAATGGTAAACACAGAAGTTGTTCGGAATTATTAAAATTACAAAAACTATTTCAAAATATGTTTTAAATATAGAAATTAACAAAATAAACAAAAACATAATTATATAATATCGGAATAATAAGTGTAAAAATGATTTATTCATATTAAACATGTATATTATATGAATGCTATTTATTTTCGTTAAATCTATTTATAGATCAGAGGATAAAAACTTTTGTTAAGATTAATGTTAGGATAAATACAATTAGAATTAATTAATTTATTATATAAAATATGTTCCAATAAAAGCTAATTTAAAATTCTGATTAATTGCCAAAATTAGACCAAATGGTGATTCTGTTATGTAATCTGGTATTAAATTTAATGTTTTTGAAAAATATCAAAATAATTATTATGATTGTAGAGCAAAGAGTGTTTGAAATTATAAATTTAAATCAATGGTAAGAGTATAGAGAAGAGAGTGATGTGTTTGAGAGCCGCGAGTTGTTGTCTAACACAGTGTAAGAGTGACTGCAAAAGGTGTGCGAAAGTTATTAAAAATACATTAGAAATGAGATAAGAGGTGTGTATTTGATTTTAATCACTGAGGCTTTACTTTACTTTATTTTACATGATTTTGTACTGAACTTAATATTTGATATTAAAATAGAGTCCACAAAATGCTATGTATACAAAATGATTTGCATTTAAATCCAATAAATCTTAGAAATTCTTAAAAATTGTAAAATTTCACGAATTAAGAGAGAAATTTATATAAATTTCTTCTTATTTATAACTGATTTTCAACAGAAATAATATAGAGAGAGAGAGAGAGAGAGAGAGAGAGAGAGAGAGAGAATTTACCATAATCACAAACTAGTTATTTGATTACACAAACTATACGGTGAGGTATTTAACACTAAAATACTTGTTATAAAATAAATATTAAACGTAAAAAATTAACAGTATTTTTGAGTTCACACTTGAAATACAAGTTTTTGTTCACTAAATAATCAGTCGATATATCAATATTATATAAAACGATAATAAAATTATTGCAAAATATTAATTAAATATCAATTAAAATACACCTTAAAATTTATCATAATGTTTTTTGTCAATACAATGCCATACAAAATATTATATTCACTATATTTATATATTTTTTTGCCAATACTCGCTATAATTAAGTAATAATTATATATTATGTATTAAATTATGATATAGACTTTCTCAATAATTGTTTATACATGTTGAGTTTGTTTGCTCATCACAACCATAATTAATTATATGCATAATAAGCTAATACTTTATATGGGAATGTTTAGTATGCTTGTCCATCAAATTAATTAATCTACAACAAATTAAACTGACATTTAGTGTACATCAAAAAACACAATAGTGTACTCTTATGAATACATTATGCATGCTAATCATTTAACATGCAAAATGTTTACTATAATGTATAAATATTTTTGCATAAAATCTTAAGTAATAAATAGACAATATCAAATACAATGTTTAAATAATTTTATTAATAACTTAAAAAATATTAATGATTACATATTTTTATAATAATTATATGAATTATTTTAAATATATATAATTCAATGTTAAGGCTATGGATTAAAGGAAACAATTAACAATTAAAATAATTATTGGTAATTATATATTGAAAATTTGAGTGACAAAACAATTGAGCATGATAATATTATTGTACATTTAAAACAATTTAATACAGATAACTACTGTATATTTAACAAGAAAATAGTTGACAACAAACATCTGAAAAACAATTTAATTAATTGTTAAAAAGTTTTACATTTAAAAAATACAACAAAAATAAAACCAATACTATATTTGCAACAGAAATACACAGAAAAAAACTCATTAATAAGTGTTTGAAACACAATATACTTTCAATACTAGTCTTCATAAACATCTAGTTATTTATTTTTTCAATGAGACAAACATATTGTTTATTATATCAGTATTAGACCATCAAAAACAAACAACACAGGTAGTTTGTATTGTCATAAAATCTATAAAAACAACCAGGGTTCTAATCTATCATACTTTATTAATCATTGTGGTAAGAATTTTAAGTGTATGTGCGTTTTTACCCTGTGTTAAAACACAAAAACTACACTATGTTTTCATATAACCAACAATTGGTGTCCGCCGTACTATCGGTACTAATGGTGGCCACAATCACACGGTTTACGGCCGGCGACTTCGGGTGCGGACTTATGCCCAACTCGTGTAACTACGAGTGCTTTGGCCACTGTGTTAATGCCGGGGTATGTGTACACTATAACTAACCTGGGTCCTCTTAAATAATCATGGTGTATTTGTTTAATTATACGTATGTTAAATTGTTAACTTTGTTATAGTATGGTTCGGGTGGTTGTCATGGGTCGAAATGCATGTGCGCCTGGTATGTATGATTATTTATGATCACGTTTTATTGTAATACAATTGGTATTTAGTGCAATGTCAATTTAATTTAATTCAGTTTATATTGATTAAACAAAAATCAGAGCAATTAATATCCACTTGACCTTAATTGGACCATGATATCTATCTAGATTTAAATGACCTTAAAATAGCTATAAAATTTAATACTAAAGTATCCTTAATAAGTATATTTTTATAATTATTTAAAAATTTATTTTGATATTTAAAATTTAATAAAAGTTATTTTTGATTAAATTATTATAATAAAATTAAAACTAAAATAAACTTAACATAAAATGTGTGTCAAATATTGTGTTTGAAACACATGTCTGACAATGAAAGTAATTGAATGCGGTTAAAAAAACTACTGTACGTAGTATAAACTGTAATAAATAAAAATGATCATGTAGCTTATTCATAAGGCAGTATTGATAGAAAAGTTACTGGGTATACTTAGTTACGTTTTGAACAAAAAAATTATTTTTTAAAAATCTTTGTTTACTTTTATTACATTTATCAAAACATATATCATCTAGATTATTTTTCTCCTACCATCCAGGGATGTGATCAATGAGACGGCACAGGCGCTGGCCCTGCAAAACAGCAACACTGGTTCACTCAACACAAACAACAATAATAATAACCAGAATAATCCTAATGTAAATTTTAACCCTGCTCAACAACAGCAGCACAATAATAATAATAATAACTTCCCAAATAATAACCATAATAATAATAACAATAATTTCCCATTAAATAACCAACATTCATT